GCCGCTTGTCTAGGAATTTTAAATTTAAGTGTTAGTGTTCTGGCGGGCACATGATATAACTCGTGAAATTGGCGTGCTGCTGAAAAAGGAGATGATGTTATCATTGGAAAAGCTCGGGTGGCTTCGTCGGTGCGAGCATTGGCCTCTGCAGCACACACCTGGCAGCAGTGTGTGCGCTCGTATATGAGCCATGTGAAAAGGATGCGACCTCTTTCTAATAGTATCACGTATGGACAACAAAATGGAGACCACGGGGCTCCTGTCAGAGATCATTGCAGAAGATTCAAGTTGATTTATAGCATTGACCACATAATGGGAATCTGAGTAAATATTAAGAGGACCTGTAAAGGTGAGAAACACCTCCAGAACCATTTGACACTCTACTAGTTGTGGCCTATTTGGCTCAAAATGTTTAATGACTGTCTCCCCTCCCTGGACAACATAGGCTCCCACACCAGAACTTGACCCATCAGTATATACAGTGACTGCATTATCCAAGGGGCAAGGCTTGGTCACCTTAGGAAAAATAACTGGATGATTCATGACAAAATGTAACAGTTTATCGGATGGATAATGATTATCAAACCTTCCAGAAAATGCACAGACAAGAACAGCCCAATCATCTAGTGTTGCACTCAAGACTTGTATTTGTTTAGGGGAATATGGCTGGATCAACAACTGTGGTTGCATAGCAAAATGTGTTAAAGACATCTTTATACCCATCATGGCAATAGACACCACAGCCGTGGGATAATACTCAATTGTTTTGCGGATGGAGGCATGAGCATGTATCCATAACAAAGGCCCATCTTGCCAAAGGACAGCTGTGGGTGCTGACTTAGTATGCAAAACACACAACACTAATTGTTTATTTGCATCATATCGTCTTAACTGTGCATTCTGAATGGCCTGTTCAACCCTCACCAAGGCCTCTCTTGCATCCTGTGTCAGCATTCGAGGGGACGTCACTCTTGGGTCTCCCTCCAAAATTTTAAATAGGGGTCTCAACTCAGCTGTAGTGAGCCGAAGGTACGGCCGAAGCCAGTTGATATCACCTAGCAATCTTTGAAAATCATTAAGTGTTTTAAGATTGTCAAGTCTCAGACTTATTTTCTGCGGTCTTATAGCTTGTGGGGTTGTAATAGCTTCCAGAAATCGTCCCACCTCTTCCTTCTGTACCTTTTCAGGAGCAATTTCCAGCCCACATTTCCTAAGTGCATCAACGGTGGTAGAAAACGCCAAATCAAGCACATCATTAGTAGGGGCAGCTATCAAGATATCATCCATATAATGGCATAATCTCAAATTTGGAAATTTTAAGCACACTGGCTCCAAGGCCTTTTGAACAAACAACTGGCACATGGTAGGACTATTGGCCATTCCTTGGGGCAAAACCCTCCATTGATACCTTGCATCAGGTTGTTCATGACTAACGGATGGAATTGTAAATGCAAACCGAGGACAATCCTCCTTGTTCAAGGGTATCAAGAAAAAGCAATCCTTTATATCAATAATAATGATCGGCCAATCTCTAGGAAGGCTAGAAAGCAAAGGCAATCCCCTTTGCACTGATCCAAATAACTGCATTTGCTGATTAACTGCTCTAAGGTCATGTAGGAGCCTCCATTTCCCTGATTTTTTCTTGATCACAAAAATAGGCGTATTCCAAGGAGATTGAGACATCTCCAGGTGCCCCAGAGCAAGTTGCTCTTTTACCAATTCTTGTGCTGCCTCCAATTTTTCTCTAGAGAGGGGCCACTGAGGGACCCAGACCGGGATGTCAGTGGTCCAGGGTATAGGGATGGCATCCTCAGTGGCCCCTAGGAAAAACCCAGGCCTTGACGTCCAGGACTCATTGAAGGCATAATCGGTTCAGGGGTGCCCTGAAGCCCCTTCCCTAGTCCCTTGCCCGGAACATATCCGGACTGCAGCATTAACTGTTGACTAACATCTGAATACTGTGTAACAAGTTTTATTCTCATCTGACTCAAAACATCTCGCCCCCATAAGGAAATGGGGAGATCAAGCACGAAAGGTTGAAATAGTCCCTTTTGGCCTTCTTCATATGTCCAAGTTAATTCTTTAGCACTGACCTTTGGTGTATTGGCATACCCCAGGCCCTGTAATGTTTGAGATGATAGCTGAAGAGGCCACCGCTTCGGCCAATCCCCTTCTCTAATAATGCTGCGGTCTGCACCTGTGTCCAGCAGTCCTTGAAACGTTTTGCCTTCTATATTAAGGGCTATAATCGGCCTTTGATCTAAACCCATAGACAGACAAACAAGATCTGTGCCAGTGGAACCAAACCCTTGATCCCCTCTATTCATAGCCTTGGCTGGAAAATGGTTATGCAGACTAGGCAAGATCAACATTTGAGCTATGCGATCCCCTGGGGAAATAGCTGTAATGCCCCTTGGGGAGGAACACATGATCTTAACTATGCCGGTATAATCAGGGTCTATAACACCCGGGGTTACTACCAGCCCTCTCAGAGCAGATGATGAACGTCCTAACAGTAAGCCCACAGTGTCTCTAGGCAATGGACCTTTAAAGTCTGACTCAATGGGCTGCACTCCCATTTGTGGTGTCAATACCAGCCTGGTGGCGGCACAGATGTCCAACCCTGCAGAGCCCATGGTTGCCCTTCGGGTTTCTGAGGTGGCTGCTCTGCCTGATCTTGCAATGCCCCATACATTTGAGGGCCCTGGGGACGTGGGCCCCTCTTGCCGTTTTTTGAACCTGGTGGATTAGTAATGGGCCGGCCAGAATCTGATGGATTAGTAATGGGCCGGCCATTGATGTCTTTCACCGACCGGCATTCATTTCCCCAGTGCCTCCCTTTTTTGCATCTCGGACAGAGGCCTGGTTGACGTCCTCCACCTCCCTGCCTCCCTTCTCCATTCGGACATGTTTTTCTTATATGACCCGGCTGGCCACATTTAAAACAGACTCCTGGTCTATTGCCAGACATCCGGGCAGCAGCCAAAACAGCAGCTGCCAGTCCAGAATTAGTCAATGGCCCTCCTATTTCCCTGCAAGCTTTCATCCATGCTTGGAGTCCTTTTCCTTTCCAGGGGGTGATTGCCCTCCTACATTCTTTGGTACATTGTTCATAGACGAGTTGCTCTACTAAAGGCATACACTGGTCCATGTCGCTAAATACTCTTCCTGCTGCCTCCATCATTCGAGCAACAAAGTCTGAAAATGGCTCTGCTGGTCCTTGTATTATCTTGGTTAAATTACCCGACACTTGGCCCCTGTTAGGCAGGGTTTTCCAGGCTCGTATGGCTATTTCATTAATTTGTTGGTAAACCTGAATAGGAAACACGGTCTGATTGTTTATCCACTGTCCTTGACCTAGTAACATGTCTGCCGTCCAGGCAGCATTGCCATTATCTGCATTAATACGGGCCTGTGCATAAGCATAGTCGGTATAAATGGACCTGAAGTACAAGTATTGACCTAAAGTAACACACGCCTTAACAGTACTCATCCAATCGGCAGGTGTCATTGCCGATTGTCCTAGGCGCTCTACAAGTCCGAGCGTGAAGCTCGCAGACACTCCATAAGTCTGTGTGGCCTCAGCCAAGTCCTTCAACTGTTTATAAGCAACCGGCTCATGAAACCTCTGCCCTGTGTTGGGATCCTGAAAGACGGGGAACACAGCAGCCAATCAGCTCCATGTGCCAGGCTTAATGAAGGAAGCCGACGTGGCAGGAGGTGCCGATGGGCCACTCCTGGTACCACTAGCTCTAGGTGAATCATATGGCGGAGGCTTAGTACGCTCCGGACTACACTGTCCCCGTTCATACTGAACTGCAGCTTCCTCTAGATCTTCCTCTAGACCTTCCTCCTCCACCTCTAATTGGTCCTCATCCTCGGAGGACTCATCTATACAAAATTGAGGAAATTCCTCCAAGAGTGGATACCGCGTATCCTCTAGCTCCCTGTCTTTCTCTGGAGCTTTCTCTTCCCTCTTCCGAGAGCTCTTGTCGCTCTCCCTTTTCCGAGAGCTTTTGTCGCCCTCCTTAGGCCTATGTTTTTTGTGTTCTCCTGTCATTTCTTCCTTGGTATCTAGCTCCGACATGCTATCCTGGTAGTCTAAAAGCGCTCTTCGGCCTTCTTTTACTGCCTCGACGCATTTCCCGTCCCGCAAACAGGCTCGTACCAATTTCCATAATGGATGACTTCCCGGCCGAAGCTTACCCTCCGCCTTTGCTGTCTCGAGGGCCCTACCTAGCTTGTTCCAGCAGGGGAGATTGATGTCCCCAGAACCTCCAAACCATGGTGCTACTCGATCCACATCCTCCAAAAACTTTCTTACGGTACCCTCGGAGATTTTTAGATCTCGGTCCCTAAGCAGCCTCTGGATAGGGCGCGAGAAAGGCGCCATGCCAGCGGGTCCAGACGCTACATTTCCCATGCTGTACGTTATCTGCACACCTTATGCACGAGTTGAAATGCCTACCTATCTACACCGGGCTTACTTTCAGTTCACTTACACATTACTCTTGCCGGTCCCAGCAAATACACTCTTGACCGGCTCTATGAAAACGTGGAAAAAAGGCAATGGGTCAGCACCAAGACGACCATACCCCGAATGACAGGGGCTCCCCAGAGCGGATTCACTCCTCCACTCAGCACGTCAGAAGTAATACTCACGGAGAACTCACCAGCGCCGCCGCTCCGAGCGTCTAAGTTCTGAATCCTCCTGCTTCCGCAGGGGTCTCTGCCTGATGCCGTGATGGAAGTCCCGGGGTTCGGCACCACTTGCAGCACGCCGCTACTGCCAGCAGAAGAGACGACTGCAACAGGATCCTTCTCAGAACACCCTTTATTGGAGCACTTACACTTGAGGTTTGAAAGAGGCAAGAAGACCCCGTCCCCGTGGAAGCAGAAGAATATATACGGTGCCAGACAAAGCCCTGACGTGTCATCAACCCAATGGCTCAGGCCAGAATGGAGCGATAAACGTGTTAAATAATGATTGGCCAGATCAGATGGCCAGATCGAAAGACTCCCTGCGCTGGAGGGGGGAGCTTGTGCGCATGCGCACAAGTTCTCTCAAGTTTGACGTGGAACAGCAAGCGGCGCCCAGGCTCCGTGCCCACGACATGACAGCGCCATGGTGCGCGCTACAATACTACATATACACAGTGATATTTTATTCAATTGAAAAGAAAAAATAAAATTTGCAAGTAAATGAACGGATCTTGAAAACATGGTGGATATCCCATAGCCAGAAAGATCAGGGGGTTGTGGGGGGCTGTAGCTGAACACGAACCAGAGAGCAGGCTAGTCAGTAAGCAACATTCTCCCCAGAGTCTCTACCCCAGCTCTTGCCCTGTTTTCCCTTGACGGTGTGCTACATGCAACCAGGAAAGCAGATAAACCCCTTCTTCCCAGTTCACTTTTGGTCAATGACTTAGCACAGCACCAGAAAAGCAAACACTGGGTGGATCTATCTTTCCTACAGGGATTTTCGGGGACGTCTTTGCAGTGCTGGAGGTGAAACCCAAGGCCCCACACATCTGGACACCTGAGATACACCCTCAATCCCTCATAAGAAAGGAGTTTTTCTGTACAATCTTAAATCTCAGTGGTTGATGGTGCAGGAATTGTGGAAATCATTGTGGAGTCTTCTCAAAACAGCTGAAATTAGAATGACAACGTGACCAAGCAATACCACTCCTGGAACATACCTCAAGAACTCTATATTCTATCAAAGGATAGTTACACATCCTTGTATATTGTTTCCCTATTTACAACAGCAAGGAAATGAAATAGGTTTAGATGTCCACCAACTAATGAATAAATAATAAAAATGTGATATACGCTTACAAAATCAACTTTTTTGATTTATTTAACTTTTATTTTTTATGTGCATTGGTATGAAGGTGTCAGATCTTGTGGAATTGCATTTTTAGACAGTTGTGAGCTGCCATGTGGGTGTTGGGAATTGAATCCGGGTCCTCTGGAAGAGAGGTTAGTGTTCTTAACTGCTGAGCCATCTCTCCAGCCCCCACAAAATCAACTTTTATTCTGGTGCTTAAGTTATAAAAATTTTCAGAAAAAATGGATGAAACTGAAAAATATATTAAGCAACATAGGCTTAGAAAAACAAACATTGGCCGGGCGATGGTGGCGCACGCCTTTAATCCCAGCACTCGGGAGGCAGAGGCAGGCGGATCTCTGTGAGTTCGAGACCAGCCTGGTCTACAGAGCTAGTTCCAGGACAGGCTCCAAAGCCACAGAGAAACCCTGTCTCGAAAAAACAAAAAAAAAAAACAACCCGAAAAACAAACATTGATCTCTCTCATAGATCTAATTTTTCTATATCTATGTTTATGCAGGAGGGAGTATATATAGAGATCAGAAAACTAGAAAGGATCCTATGAAAGAAGAAAAAAGTGACCTTCAAGGAGGAGAGGGGTGCAATCGAACACCTGTGATTTGGAAAGAGAAGGGAATTGCTGGAAGTGGAAGGGTTTGAGCAGGGATGAGGAGCAGGGATATGGGGTCAAGAAGGACAAGGGGGAAGGGTCAACCAAAACTAAGCATTATGGAAATGCTAGCTAGGCATGGTGGTGCACTCCTTTAATCCCAGTACTTGGGAGGCAGAAACAGACAGATGTCTATGAGTTAAAGGCTAGCCAGGACTACAAGGTGAGTTCCAGGCCAGCCAAAGCTACATTCTGAGATTCTGTCTCACGAAAGAAAACAGGGAGGTAGGGAGAAAGGGAAGGAAGGAAGGAAGGAAGGAAGGAAGGAGGAAGGAAGGAAGGAAGGAAGGAAGGAAGGAAGGAAGGGAAGGGAAGGAAAGGGAAAGGAAAGAAAAGAAAAGAAAAGGAAAGAAAAGAAAAGAAAAGAAAAGAAAAGAAAAGAAAAGAAAAGAAAAGAAAAGAAAGAAAAGAAAAGAAAAGAAAAGAAAAGAAAAGGAGATGAAGGGTCATGGCCCCTCATTTCAGACCTTTAATTCAATCCCACACACAAATCTTCTTTGAGGCTGGAGAGATGACTAAGTGGTTAAGAGCACTTGCTGCTCTTCCAGAGGACCGGAGTTCAGTTCCCAGCCTCCACATGGTAGCTCACAAATATCTGTAACTTTAATTTCAGAGGACTCAAAGCCTTCTCCTGACCTCTATGGGCACTGCACACACATTCTACACAGATCCTTGCAGGCAAAACACGCATATACATAAAATAAAAAATAAAGCTTAAAAAAGAAAATGTCACCTGGCGGTGGTGGCACATGCTTTTAATCCCAGCACTCGGGAGGCAGAGGCAGGCAGATCTCTGTGAGTTCGAGGGCCAGCCTGGTCTAGAAGAGCTAGTTCCAGGACAGGCTCCAAAGCTACAGAGAGTGTCTCAAAAAAAAACCAAATAAATAAATATAAATATAAATAAAAAATAAAATAAAATAAAAATAAAAAATAACAAAGGACGCCACCTTGTGGCACATGCATGCGTGTGGTGCGTGCGCGCGCGCACACAAACATTCACTGTATATGACCTGGCATTTTCATAAGGCTTTGATCAAATATTCAAATCTTGTGGTGATTCTAGCCTGGAAAATGTCTTAAGTGATCCACCTGGTTTGCTCTCTGATGCTGTGATAAAACACAGACCAAAAGCAAGTTGGTGGAGGAAAGAGATTATTTACTTGGCTTACAGGTTACAGTCCATCCTCTGGGGAAGCCAAGACAGGAAAGTGGAGGCAGGAGCTGATGCAGAGGCCTTGGACGGGTGCTGCTTACTGGCTTGTTCATCGAGGCTCGCTCAGCCTGTTTTTTTTTTTCTTTCAAGGCATGGCTTCTTCTTGAATCTGGGAACATTTGCCTAGGCATGATATCCACCACTACCCACTACAGTGAACTGGGCCCTCCCAGTCAGTCACTAATTAAGAAAATGCCTCCGGAGGAGGGAGGAGGGTGAGTGGGGGAGCAGGAGGGGAATGGGAGGTGTAGTAATAAGAGCAGCGGGCTGCGTCCCCAGCACCCGGCCGCCCACATGGCTAGCTCTAGCTTATGCCCCGAAATAATTACACGGAAACTGTATTCTTTTAAACACCGCTTTGCCCATTAGTTAAAGCCTTTCTTCCTCGGCTAACTCTCGCACCTGGACTAGCCCATTTCTTATAATCTGTTGTAGCCCACGAGCTGATTTACCAGGAAAGATCTTAACCTGCGTCTGTCTGGAGTGGGAGAATCATGGCGACTCCCTGACTCAGCTCTTTCTCCCAGCATTCTGTTCTGTTTACTCCTCCCACCTATGTTTTAACCTTTGAGGGCCAAGCAGTTTCTTTATTACTTAACCAATGAAATCAACAGATAGAAAGATGACCCTCCTCCATCAGGGAGGAGGGGAGGAAGTGTAAATTTTTGAATGGAAAAAATAAAACATATTTTTAAAAAGAAAATGCCCCCATTGACATGCCCACAGGTCAATCTGATGAGGCAGTTCTTCTGCTGAGGTTCCCTCTTTCCAGGTGACTTCTTTCTGTGTGTGGGGAGGGGGCGAGGGGGGAGTTGCTTGAGATAAGATTTCTCCAAGTAGCCCTGGCTGTCCTGGAACTCACTATGTAAATCAGGTTGGCCCCAAACTCACAGAAATACGCCTGCTTCTGACTCCCAAGTGCTGGGATTAAAGGCGTGCACCACCGCCAACTGGCTTTTCTGCTGTTTTGTTGTTTCTTGTTTTGTTTTGTTTCCAAGACAGGGTTTCTCTGGGTAGCCCTGGCTGTCCTGGAACTCACTCTATACACCAGACTGGGCCTCGAACTCACAGAGATCCACCTGCCTCTGCCTCCTGAGTGCAATCAGCCAGTAGTGCCGTGAAGATCCTTCACAGAAATCCTGTGGATCATGGGACTAAAACTGCTGGCAGAAGGGAAAATGTTATAATTTAAATATGTTTGCTACATTGGTTATGGATTTTTAAAGTTATGTGAACAATTAAGTAGAAAACTGATGTTTTAAAGATTTTATATTTTCCTTTGTTTTCATGAAGTAAGATTTTTCCCTTTGCTGGAAAAATGATAAATTTGCTCTAATATATATACTATTACAGGATTTTTTCATTGTTTAAAGCAACTAGATAATCAAATATATGTGTTCATCCATATATAACTATATATGTGTATACTTGAGATTTCATTGACTCAATTATATGAATAAGTAATTTTGAGATTTAAAATAAAATCCCAATAATATTTTTAAAAAGAAAATCTAGCGTGATTAGTCATGCGCCCTATCAGCAGTCCCTGTCGTTCTTCTTGTAAAATACAAAGAATATTTTTTGTTAACTATGATATAAATGTAAGATTTTAGTATCTCTTGAAACATTTTTAAAATAAAGGAATCCCCATCTTATTTTTAAGGTGCAAATGATTTTTTTTAATAGGTGAAATCAGAAGGCCTTAAGAACACTGCTGGTCTGCCAGGTGACCCGGATTTGATTCCCAGCACTGCCAATAGGGGGCAGTGCCTATTCTCCAACTGTGCCTCCTCAGGGCCAGATCAGCCACCTGCCTCAGGTGGCAAAGGGTTTGAGAGGGAGGGAGGTCATCTCCCCCTCACCCACTCTACCATATTCCAGATGAGGGCTGGGGTCTGATCTCCCTCAAGCATTCCCATGGCCTGATCATCTGTACCCCCATCAATGGGGGTCAGCTCTACAGTGCTGCCTGGACAAAGTGCAGGGCCTCCCCTTCCTGAGTGCTGCAGTCTGTGAGGGGCAGGATCAGCTCTCCCACTCTTGGACCCTGGGACCAGCTTTTTCCCGCCTGGAGTAGGTAAGGTGCCTGGGGCAAGGGGTATCTCTCCCTCCTCATGCTACCATGGGATAGACCATGGGCTAGCTCTCCACTCGCATGTCTTCAGGGTTGAATCACCTGCACCCCAGCTCTGCTGTGCTGTCCTGGCAAGGTGCAGAGCCTGTTCTGAGAGCTGCAGTGGGTGGGGGCAGGGCCAGTTCTCCCTAGTGCTTCAGCCAGTGAGGGGCAGGACCAACTCTGTGCAGCCCAATCCTCACTGCTTTCAGTGGTGACAGGAGCCAGGGACATACCACAGACCACAGAGGGACAGCAGGATCACAGACCCAGCCAGTTCCAAGCCAGACAAGGGCCTTAGGGACAGCCCAGGCCCCCAGTGAAACCATGGCCCTGGTAGCAGCACAGGCTCCTCAGATCTCCATGGCTCCAACAGAGGGCTCAACCCCCCAACAGTGATCTGACCCTTGGTGGTGCTCAGGCCCTTGATGCGTCCTGAGTGGCCCTTAGTGGCAATATGGGCCATGGATAGCAATACAGGTCCCTGCTGTGGTTGGACCATGGGCTCAGACAGGGTCCTCGGCAGGGGCCCAGGCGCAGATGTCACAGTGGCCCCAGGTGGCAGTGCAGGTCCCTCTGAACAGCATGGCCTGTGAACACCTGTATGGCCCAGGTGTCAGCCCAGATCCTGAGCATCCACACAGGAATCTCAGACATCAGTGCAGACCCCGGCTGTGGCAGGGTCACTGACCCAGACTTGGTCCCTGCTGCAGCTCGGGGCCCCATATGACACCCTGGGCCTAGGTTGCAGCACACGACACTCAGGTCAGTATGGGTTCAGCAGTGGTACAGCTCTCAGGCACCAAGAAGGCCACAGGGTGGGAGCCCAGATCCTGGGCATCAGTGTGGTGTTTGGTAGCAACACGGGTCACGGACATCAGCACAGACTCAGGCTGTGGTAGGACCACAGGCCAAGACATGGAGATCTCTCCTGGGTGGTGACAGAGAGGGAAAGCTGGCAGGCTGAACCAGACCAGCTACCAGCCAGACCCAGAATCAGGACAACAAGGTAGCCCACCCCACACCCACCTCATCTATGAGCCTCTAGAGCACGTGACCAGCACAGACCCAAAGCTGCAGGGTCTAAACAACACGGGGGGTGGGGGGGAGCAAACACAGGATATCCAAGAGGGTCCTAGTCAGGGCCCAGTACCCACAGCGCAGCAGAAACCAGAGGCCCCGGACCAGACCAATGACTCCGTGCAATGAGCACTTTCAAGAAAAGGGCATATATGTGTGGACTGAAGGGTGACCTGTGACACAGCACAGCTTCTGCACCGAGGTTTGAGGGGTGTTTGATTTTTTTTGTGATTTGGTTCGGGTTTTGATTTACTTTTAAACTTTATTTTGGCAGGGGAGATTGCAAGGGCAGAGGGCAGGAGCGAGGAGACAGGGGAATGAGTCATATTAGGATGTGTGATGTGAAATTCACAAAGAATCAAGAAAATGTTTTAGAACTAAATACAAATAAAAGCAAGATGTATGAAAAAACTGGAGATGTCATTAAAGATTCAAGACCCACTCCGCAAGCAGTGTGGCGGTTTCTCAGGAAATTCGGAATCAACCTACCCCTAGACCCAGCAATACCACTCTTGGGAATATACCCAAGAGATGCCCTATCATACAACAAAAGTATATGCTCAACTATGTTCATAGCAGCATTGTTTGTAATAGCCAGAACCTGGAAACAACCTAGATGCCCTTCAATGGAAGAATGGATGAAGAAAATATGGAATATATACATATTAGAGTTCTACTCAGCAGTAAAAAAACAATGACTTCTTGAATTTTGCATGCAAATGGACAGAAATATAAAACACTACCCTGAGTGGGTAAGCCAGACCCAAAAGGAGGAACACAGGATGTACTCACTCATAATTGGTTTCCTAGCCATAAATAAAGGACATTGAGCCTATAATTCGTGATCCTAGAGAAGCTAAATAAGAAGGAGAACCCAAAGAAAAAACACATAGTCATCCTCTGGATATTAACCTTCATCAGGCGATGAAAGGAGACAGAGACAGAGACCCACATTGGAGCACCGGACTGAAATCTCAAGGTCCAAAACAGGAGCAGAAGGAGAGAGAGGACGAGCAAGGAACTCAGGACTGCGAGGGGTGCACCCACATACTGAGACAATGGGGATGTTCTATCAGGAACTCACCAAGGCCAGCTGGACTGGGTGTGAAAAAGCATGGGATAAAACCGGACTTGCTGAACATAGCAGACAATGAGGACTGCTGAGAAGTCAAGAACAATGGCACTGGGTTTTGATCCTACTGCACGTACTGGCTTTGTGGGAGCCTAGGCAGTTTGGATGCTCAACTTACTAGACCTGGATGGAGGTGGAAGGTCCCTTGGAACTCCCCACAGAACAGCGAACCCTGATTGCTCTTTGGGCTGATGAGGGAGGGGGTGTTGGTTGGGGGAGGGGGAGGGAAATGGGAGGCAGTGGCGGGGAGGAGACAGAAATCCTTAATAAATAAATAATAATAATAAAGAAAATAAAGGGGAAAAAAAGAACCACTCCGTGTTGGTCAGTATCGTGTCTACCCTTTCAGCTCTCTGTGGTACCCATGAGACAGCCTGGGATCTTCCAATATCACATGGTATAGAGGGGCACTGAACAGCAGAAGCTGGGTTTCAAGAGTTCCAAAGGCTGTAGCCCCCAGTGACTTCTCTAGACACACAAGGGGCCATGTTCTCCTATGCAAGGCTGGAATTCCTCAGCAGGGTCCTGATCAGAAGGGTTCCCCAATCCCTCTGAACTCCTGCTGCAATCTGAAGCCGCCATGCAAAAGGGGACATGCAAGAGGGGCACCTGCAGCTCAGGAGAGCAGGGCTGTAGCTCAGTGGAGTTCTGTCCTAAAGGGCCTGAAATGCAGGGCCACTTGAGAGACAGGATAGAAACACCTGCATTACCAAGGAGGCTATGGGACAAAGCTGTATGTTCACAGAATTTCTGAAACCAACATGGTTTAACATTTTAAAAACCAAATCATGCCCTTTGCTCTCTGCTTGGCAGGAAAATGAGGAGTGACAGACGGAACTGATAAGATGAAATAAGAAAGGGATCTCTCTCTCTATGCCTCTCTCTCCCTCTTTCTCTCTTTCTTGAGACCAAATGCCCAAGGCAGGATTAAAACTCCCTCTGAGACAAAGAAGGACTTTGAAGCTATTATCTTCCTGTGTCAGTGTTCAGCCTGGGACAGCCTGTCACTTTATGCAATTGGGGAGCTCAAATCCAAGCTTTTAGAAATTTCTTGCCAAGGACTCTGCACAATGAGCTACATCCCCAGCACATAAATGAGTGTCTTTATAATCACAGAAGGAAGAGAGAAAAATATTTCCCAGGTCCTGGGGGACCTCAACAAAAGGAGATTCAGGTCATACAGTAAAAACAAAGGGCAGGAAGCAAACATATGCAGATTTAGCGGTGAGGTAGTTACCAGAACTGTGAGGTAAGTCTTATCCTGGAAGAATTTCAGCACCAGGGCTCCAGAATATTCCCAGCACCAAATAGAGTGTGTCTGGACAGACACTAGTACTTTAGGGCTCCTTCCATTTTAAGAGTGACCAGAACATGCTTGGAAAAGCTGGCTGCCTTGGAACCAGTCTGACCACCTGCCAGGAAAGGGGCTGCTTGACTCTGGGATGGAAACCAGGCACAAAGGCCTGCTCTTGACACTCTGACCATTCACAGAAGACGTTAAAAATGCGTTCAAGAGAAAGGTGAGGAACCTCAGCACAGGTGTGACTATTCTCACGCTTTGCCAGCGCTCATGAAGGCTGGACGGTACTACTAAGCTCCTCCTCAGTAGCCCTGGTGAAGATGAGCCCACCGATCTGCCTGCTGAACAGCCCCAGGTCCTGCAACCCTGCCCAGCTCCTGCAAAGTCAGAACACGGAAGCAAGGCAGGATCTACCTTGCTGGGGAAGTTCAAAGAAGAGCCTCCCAGATAAACACATTACTTAGTACCCATTCTCTGCCAAGTTGCAAGGACCCAATGTCAAGACTAAGAGATATTGTCCTCACATCTCCACAAGGTCTTAAAGGCTTCTGGTGGATCTTTTCTTGCCCCCTGCAAATCGGTTCCTGTGGTTGACCACCACCCGTTCCCTAGGAAGATAGTCACCATGGTGAAAGGACTCATGAAGTTGCAACTCGGAAGGCCCCTTCTATTCCGTTGTCCAGGTGCCACCCGTTCCCGCACAAACACATGCAGCTCACTCAAGCTTCAGGCTGCACTCAGTTTTGCCCCTGAGGATCGCAGACCATAACAACTGCAGGCCAACCGGAAGCCAGGACGGCATGGCCAGGATTGGATACATGCTAATAAGGACTATGAGGGGGGGGGGGGGGACCCGGAAACCAGAAAACCCCTGCGGGTTGAGGAGCCTCACTCCCAGAGCGGTAGAGGCTCCAACTCAGAAGCTATAGAGATATAGCAAGTCCTTGAGGCTGAGAGACCTTACTTCCGGAACGTCAGGGAGCTCCGGCTCCGACACGTCAGAGGCACGACGGACAGCAAGCCATAAGCCACTGCAACGCCGGCATTCTGGAAGGACATGGAGCGTCAAACTTCGATTACCTGCTTTACGTGGACTTGACGACGACGATGACAACTGGGATGGTCAGTGCGTGCTAGGAACGGTGGGGTGGTGCTGTCCATGGGGGGAGGAGCGTCCACAGAGGCGGCGGGGCAGGCCCCGTGTACTGGCGTCGCCTGTTGGCGCTCGACTTCACGGGATTTCGCATCACGAGGCCCTGTCACCTCGGTGCCCCTTTCTGTTTCCCACTTCCAGAGGCTGAGGCATCGACGGTCTTGCAGGCTGGAGAGGGACGAAATGAGGAAGCCAGTGGACCGGGCCAGGCTGGGCGCGGAGCCGCAGCCGCTGCAGCCATAGCCGCAGAAGCAGCCGGAGCAGAAGCAGGAGAAGGCCCCTCAGCTGCTGGCGCAGCAGGCCCCGTGGATGATGGGAACCAAGAGGGCGCTGTTGGTGGCCATGGCCAGGAGAATGAGCCACAGCCTCAGGAGCCAGATCGTGGGGCCATGGGAGACAACCAGGCTGTGCTGTCCTTGGCCGAGCGGTGGTCCTGTGTTCAACCCGTGAGGGTGCTGGTGCCTGAATTCCGAGTCCATTACCAGCACAGGTTCACCTTGGCTCAGCTCCAAGAGCTGGAGAGCGCCTTTCAGCGCAGTCAGTACCTCACCACTGAGGAGGCGTGAGTAGCTTGCCTAGCTTGCTCTGTTGTTTGTTGGGCCTCCAGGTTCCACTCTTGTCCTCGTTTTATTATATTTTTAAATGTGATTTTTTTTTAATTTCTCTTATTTAAGTCCTCAGTGTGTGTGTGTGTGTGTGTGTGTGTGTGTGTGTGTGTGTGTGTGTGTGTGTTGTGCTTGCATGTGCATATCCACAAAATTGCACCTATGGGGAACAGACGACAACTTTCAATAATTGTTTCTCTTCTCCAATCACGTGTGTCCCCGGTGTTGAACTCAGGCATGCAGGCAAGCACCTATTTGTCTGAGCCATTTTTGCTACAGTGGTGAATGCGAGGGTGATTGCAGGGCCAGCCTCAGCTACAGAGTGGAAGGTTATCTTTAGATCTCCTGAGTGACTTGGGAGCATGGGGTCACTGGAGAGGGGAGAAGGGGAGAAGAGAGGAGGAGAGGGGAGCAGACAAAAATGTGTAGCCCAATAAAACCAATTTAAAAAAAAATGAGCTGGACAGTGGTGGCGCATGCTTTTAATTCCAGCACTCAGGAGGCAGAAGCAGGTAGATCTCTGTGAGTTCAGGGCCAGCCTGGTCTACAGAGCTAGTTCCAGGACAGCTAGGGCTCTTACACAAAGAAAGCCATGTCTCGAAAAAACAAATAAACATATACACACTTATGTATGGTTTTTACTACATATAACATATAATATAACATATATTAATATATTATATTATCTATTGATATATTAATGTGTATTAATATGTTAATATACTTTGACATATTATTTAATGTGTTATATAACATACTATATAATATATTATAGATTAACCTATAATATATTTATATATTATTATACTACATATATAAATATACAATATATTATAATATAATTTATATAATGATATAATATAGCATGATGTAATAATTGTTATATTAATGTATTAAAATACATTAATATATTAACATATTGATTTTATTAATACATAAATATGATGTTTATAATATAGTATAATGTATGGTGATATAGTGTACATTAAGTACATTAATATATGATATATAATATATTGATATGTATATTATTACATATTATGTATTATGTGTTATATATTACATGCTTATTATATATTAAAGACCAAAATATATGTTATATAATTTATAACATTATATTATAATATATTGTGTTACTATATATGTTGTATATTAAATATTATATGATATTGCTGTGTTATATGTTAAATATCATTTATGATATATTGGATATTGTATGATATATTAAATATAATGTATGACATATTAAATATTACATATTGAATATTATATGATCAACATTAAATATCATATATCATTGTGTAATGTATATATTTGGTTTGTAATATATATTAAAAATGAAAATAAAAAACAACCCGAGCTGAGTGGGGTGGTTCAGATTTTTAATCTCATTGCTTGGGATTTGGAGGCAGGTAGATCAGAAGTTCAAGGTTATCTCAGTTCTATGATGAGTTCCAGGCTAGCACCATATCCATTAGGCCATTTGTGTTGAGAGTGAAGCTATATTCCACCATGCTGTTTTTTTTTCTATCAGGGGTGGAGAAGTGTGGGAGTGCCTTTCTCTTCTGACTTTCTGATATAAGACCTCACTCTGTAGCAAGGCTGTCCAGGTACTTGCAAGGAGTCTTCTACCTCAGTTTCCAATGGTGCTTGGAATTCAGGACTGTGTGGCTAGTGTTGTGAGATTTTATAACATTCACCTGGGCCTGCTATGACTTTAATATTTCTTTACCTTGATTGGCAAGATGGCTCATCAGGTGAAGACACTACCAAGCCTGAGATCCTGAATTCCATTCTGAAGACACACATGGAAGAAGAGGACTCCGGCAAGCTGTCCTCTCGCCTCCCATATACACCATTGACACATACACACATTAAGAAAAGAAATAAGTGTGATATTTCATTTTTCTGATGATTAGCAGGTTGGAGTACCTTGTGTATTATTTGAATATTTAAAATTCTGGGATGCTTCCATTAATCTTTATTTGAGCTTCCTTCTATCCTGACAAAACATGTCACCTGGGCTTTCCCTATGTACATTTGTTTTGTAGTTTTTGCCTTGTTTTGTGTTGGGTTTAGTTTTTGCTGTTGTTGTTTTAAGTCTCCTGTATGACTACACCTAGTGTTAGGAGCACTGTTTTGAGGATTTTACTAGACAGTGTTAGTGGCTTTCAAATTGCTTATTAGAGATATACTTTGGTTTGCATATCTACTAATGGTAATAAAATAATTTGTTCTAAAACTCTCAAAATTCTCAAAGCGAATATCAGAGAAGGTAGAGAATGAGACAAAATATTTCGAAACACATATAAAATATCTTTCTCATATTTAATTTTACATATCCATAATTCCAAATACTGAATGTCTTCCATTTTTACCCTCAGGAAACGATTGGCATCTTGCTTGGGTGTAACTGAAGCCAGAGTGCAGGTCAGTAAGCACGGAACAGCCATTTGGAGGAAAGTGATTCTAGATGTTACTTTATCTGCAGGTCCTGTTGGTCCTCTGAGTCAAAATTTGTGTTGCTTTTTTAATTTTCCATGTTTCATATTGACTTTTAAATATTATCTCTAAATTGTGTGTGTGTGTGTGTGTGTGTGCGCGTGCGCGCGGCGCGCATGCACATATGTGTGTGTGCACCCAAGGGAGCCAGGAGAGGGCATAAATTTCCTGGAGCTGGAGTTACACGTATGTATGAGCAGGCCAAATGGGTATTAGGAACTGAACTCAATTCTCTCCACTCCACGTCCCTAATAAGCAATTTCATAAAACACTAATATGAACAGCAAAAACTTCAAAAGAAATGCTCCTAATGCCCCAAAAGAGTATCAGTTTTACAGTGTATTACATATATATCCTGCATATTTATATAACATTCGTAGAACTATCTTATATATTATGGGTACATATTTTCTAAGCTAAAATGCATACATTCATAATTCAGCACAAGATACATGTATATGTAGTACATATGTACTTAAGTAGTAAAAATAGTTTAGTACATTCTTTGTTCCTTAGGAAGTTATGTGTCTTCTGGAAATGAGCCATTCCTGATTAGTAGGGCTTTCTAGTTCCATTTTCTACCCACCAGGACCACAAATCTCAAAAGACATTTTGAGTGACCTAGAATGATGGTTTAGTGGTATAATATATAAATATAAATATATTATAGACTAATCTTTAATATATTATGCAACACATAAAGTATATTAACATTAATATATCAATTAGATAACATATTGACATGTTATGTATTATATGTTAAATATTATATATTATATGTAGTAAAAACTATACATATGTGTGTATGTATATGTGTATATATGTATTTGTTTTTTCAAGACAAGGCTGTCCGGCCCTAGCTGTCCTGGAACTCACTCTGTAGACCAGGCTGGCCTTGAACTCACAGAGATCTACCTGCCTCTGCCTCAAAATGTCTTTTGAGATTTTTGGTCCTGGTTGGTAGAAAATGGAACAAGAAAGCCCTACTAATTAGGAATGGCTCATTTCCTCAGGAGCAAAGAATTACTAAACTATTTTTACTGCTTTTTTTGGGAAAAGATGTGTGTGTGTGTGTGTGTGTGTGTGTGTGTGTGTGTGTGTGTGTGTGTCTGTATTTTTCATTTTTGAAATTTAACCCAAAAAATATTCCAGGAAAAGATGGAGAGGTTGGGCTGGGTCTCCTTCAGATGGCATTTGCTACCAAGGACAGTGGGCAGCTGGCCAATACCCAGGCTACCCCAGCCCACTTCTCCCTGATTACTCCAGAATGGGAGAGACAGTGGAGGTGCAGCTGGGAGCAGGGGCCAAGGGTGGTGGCTCTGGGGTAAGAAGCTGGGCTGAGGCTGGGGAGAGGTGGGGGTTCCCATGTGCAGTCATCTTTGCGCAGTGACAGCCTCGAAGCTGTCAGGGCTAAGAACCTACATAGGTGTGGGTGTGGCAGGCTAAACAGGACGCTGTAGCCAGGTATCTGGGAAAGGCAGGCTTGGGGCTGGCCTTCCCTTCTAACTGATGGTCTGCCGGGGTCGTCCATAGCCTGTCATGCCAGCCTGTGAGGCCCCTCTGTTGCTGCCCATCTGAAGGCCAATGACATGCTTACCCTCCTGCTATATATACAAGTATCTTGTGGCTGAATTATGAATGTATGCATTTTAGCTTAGAAAATATGTACAGATAATGCATAAGATAGTTGCATGAATGACAGTTATGTAGGATATTATATGCATGCATTGTAAGACTGATTTTCTTTTGGGGGTTAGGAGCATTTCTTTTGAGTTTTTTTTTTTTTTTTGCTGTTCCTATAAGTGTTTTTGAAATTGCTTATTAGGGACATAGTATGTTTTTATTTTTGCTAATGGTGGAGGATAATAAAACAAAATTACCAGTAGGGTTTTTTGTTTGTTTGTTTTTGGAGGCAGGATTTCCCTGTGTAGCTTTGGAGCCTGTCCTGGAACTCACTCTGTAGACCAGGCTGGCCTCAAACTCACAAAGCTCTGCCTGCCTCTGCCTCCCGAGTGCTGGGATTAAAGGTGTGCACCACTCCCCAGCAAGGCTGGCATTCTTTAAAAAGCATTTCTCTGGGGAGTCATAACGTGTTTGTGATATATAAATTACCCAAATAAGTGTAGCTAGGGGATCCATGACACTAATTTTAAAAAACTAATAATAAATTCTATCCTTACAGGGGAATTGCTGATAATTTACAGGCTGAACTCATATAACTAATGAAAACTTATCTTATGGAAACGAAGAAAATATCCAGTTAAATTACCTACTCCTACTGGGTTTTTAAAATTTTTATTAGTCTCTGAAAATTTCATACATGTTTTGATCATATTTGTCCTCCCCCAACTCTTCCTCCATCCA